AGTTGTCTTCATGGCTAAGGCACATACGACACTGTTTCCCCGAAAATAAGACCCAACCGGAAAATAAGCCCTAGCATGATTTTTCAGGATGCTTGTAATATAAGCCCTACCCACAAAATAAGCCCCAGTTAAGATTGTCAGCCAGATGGATGCATTTAGTACCGTATTTCCCCCAAAATAAGACCTAACCAGAAAATAAGCCCTAATGCGTCTTTTGGAGCAAAAATTAATATAAGACCCGATCTTATTTTCGGAGGAACATGGTAGAACTTTCAGTCTCCTGGTGTCTAGCCTGGTGCCTTCAACCACTATACCAAACCATTATACTACTATGCCCTTGCCTCCTTCCTAGGGCTGAGAGAGAGTGCCTGGCCCGGCACCCAGTTGTCTTCATGCCTAAGGCACATACTAGAACTCTCAGTCTCCTGGTGTCTAGCCTGGTGCCTTCAACCACTATACCAAACCACTATACCACTATGCCCTTGCCTCCTTCCTAGGGCTGAGAGAGAGTGCCTGGCCCGGCACCCAGTTGTCTTCATGCCTAAGGCACATACTAGAACTCTCAGTCTCCTGGTGTCTAGCCTCGTGCCTTCAACCTATACCAAACCACTATACCACTATGCCCTTGCCTCCTTCCTTGGGCTGAGAGAGAGTGCCTGGCCCGGCACCCAGTTGTCTTCATGCCTAAGGCACGTACTAGAACTCTCAGCCTCCTGGTGTCTTGTCTGATGCCTGCAACCACTATACCAAACCACTATACCACTATGCCCTTGCCTCATTCCTAGGGCTGAGAGAGAGTGCCTGGCCTGGCACCCAGTTGTCTTCATGCCGTACTAGAACTCTCAGTCTCCTGGTGTCTAGCCTGGTGCCTTCAACCACTATATCAAACCACTATACCACTATGCCCTGCCTCCTTCCTAGGGCCGAGAGAGAGTGCCAGGCCCGCACCCAGTTGTCTTCATGCCGTACTAGAACTCTCAGTCTCCTGGTGTCTAGCCTGGTGCCTTCAACCACTATATCAAACCACTATACCACTATGTCCTTGCCTCCTTCCTAGGGCCTAGAGAGAGTGCCTGGCCTGGCACCCAGTTGGCTTCATGCCTGAGGCACGTACTAGAACTCTCAGTCTCCTGGTGTCTAGCCTCGTGCCTTCAACCACTATACCAAACCACTATACCACTATGTCCTTGCCTCCTTCCTAGGGCCTAGAGAGAGTGCCTGGCCTGGCACCCAGTTGTCTTCATGCCTAAGGCACATACTAGAACTCTCAGTCTCCTGGTGTCTAGCCTCGTGCCTTCAACCACTATACCAAACCACTATACCACTATGCCCTTGCCTCCTTCCTTGGGCTGAGAGAGAGTGCCTGGCCCGGCACCCAGTTGTCTTCATGCCTAAGGCACGTACTAGAACTCTCAGCCTCCTGGTGTCTTGTCTGATGCCTGCAACCACTATACCAAACCACTATACCACTATGCCCTTGCCTCATTCCTAGGGCTGAGAGAGAGTGCCTGGCCTGGCACCCAGTTGTCTTCATGCCGTACTAGAACTCTCAGTCTCCTGGTGTCTAGCCTGGTGCCTTCAACCACTATATCAAACCACTATACCACTATGCCCTTGCCTCCTTCCTAGGGCCGAGAGAGAGTGCCAGGCCCGGCACCCAGTTGTCTTCATGCCGTACTAGAACTCTCAGTCTCCTGGTGTCTAGCCTGGTGCCTTCAACCACTATATCAAACCACTATACCACTATGTCCTTGCCTCCTTCCTAGGGCCTAGAGAGAGTGCCTGGCCTGGCACCCAGTTGGCTTCATGCCTGAGGCACGTACTAGAACTCTCAGTCTCCTGGTGTCTAGCCTCGTGCCTTCAACCACTATACCAAACCACTATACCACTATGCCCTTGCCTCCTTCCTAGGGCTGAGAGAGAGTGCCTGGCCCGGCACCCAGTTGTCTTCATGCCTAAGGCACATACTAGAACTCTCAGTCTCCTGGTGTCTAGCCTCGTGCCTTCAACCACTATACCAAACCACTATACCACTATGCCCTTGCCTCCTTCCTAGGGCTGAGAGAGAGTGCCTGGCCGGCACCCAGTTGTCTTCATGCCTAAGGCACGTACTAAACTCTCAGCCTCCTGGTGTCTTGTCTGATGCCTGCAACCACTATACCAAACCACTATACCACTATGCCCTTGCCTCATTCCTAGGGCTGAGAGAGAGTGCCTGGCCTGGCACCCAGTTGTCTTCATGCCGTACTAGAACTCTCAGTCTCCTGGTGTCTAGCCTGGTGCCTTCAACCACTATATCAAACCACTATACCACTATGCCCTTGCCTCCTTCCTAGGGCCGAGAGAGAGTGCCAGGCCCGGCACCCAGTTGTCTTCATGCCGTACTAGAACTCTCAGTCTCCTGGTGTCTAGCCTGGTGCCTTCAACCACTATATCAAACCACTATACCACTATGTCCTTGCCTCCTTCCTAGGGCCTAGAGAGAGTGCCTGGCCTGGCACCCAGTTGGCTTCATGCCTGAGGCACGTACTAGAACTCTCAGTCTCCTGGTGTCTAGCCTCGTGCCTTCAACCACTATACCAAACCACTATACCACTATGTCCTTGCCTCCTTCCTAGGGCCTAGAGAGAGTGCCTGGCCTGGCACCCAGTTGTCTTCATGCCTAAGGCACGTACTAGAACTCTCAGCCTCCTGGTTTCTAGCCTGGTGCTTTCAACCACTATACCAAACTGGTTCTGTAGCATTATTGGCAACATATCATAATCTACAGTGGAAAAAAAAAAACCAATTTCCTTAGCGTGCTTTCAACACGAAAGGAACGTTTGTAACACGGACATGTCTTAGGGCTTTTTGCCGATTCCGGTGACGGTATGAACGGCCTCCCTTTAACATTTCTTTCCTTGTGGCCTTGCCCGATTGCCTTAAAAGGGCCCTGCCTTGATGGGGAATCAAATGCAGGACCGATGCTTCTCAAGGCCAGAAGCTCCCAGTTCCTTTCAACCGTCTCTGATGAGATTTGATTGCTGTAAAAAAAAAAAAAAAGGAAAGAAAAAAAAATATATAGCTTTGCCGGGGAAAAAAATCTCATGTGATCCAGCAGCTCATTTAAAATATTTTTCTATTTATGTGGCAGAGGCTTCTTACTTGGCACGCCGGCGCATCAGGGTGCAGCGGCCCAGAGGGAAACTGGTGGCATGCTAATGGCCCATAGAAAGGGTGCCCTATAGAGCAGAACATTTTAAGCAGGGCGCCAAGCTGAGCGCAGCTCAGTGGGAGCTGACTCTAAGCAACGTTTTCTCTCCTCCCGAACGCTTTAAAGTATCTGGCGTCGAGGTTCCTTGAGGGCTGTTTACTCCTATATTTATTTATGAATTTACTCATCAGTACGCATCTCTTTGAAGGCCTTGATCTTCGTTTCTTCTGAAACGAAGGTATGGACACCTCCCGTGAATATTCCCATGGCAACTTCAATAGGAGGAGGAGAAGAAGAAGAAGGATAAAAAAAAAAACTGAGCTGGTTTGGAATTTGGGAATTTTAGCGGAATACCTACCAGACGTCCCAGGGTCAAAAGTGAGGGAGGGAGAAAAGGACCCCTTTCTGGACCTTTCTTTCTGGAGCCCTTTCAGGCAGAGGTGGGTTTCAGCAGGTTCTGACCAGTTCTGGAGAACTGGTAGCAGAAATTTTGAGTAGTTCGGAGAACCGGCAAATACCGCCTCTGACTGGCCCCGCCCCCATCTATTCTCTGCCTCCCGAGTCCCAGCTGATCAGGAGGAAATGGGGATTTTGCAGTAACCTTCCCCTGGATTGGGGAGGGAATGGAGATTTTACAGGATCCTTCCCCTGCCATGCCCACCAAGCCACACCCACAGAATCGGTAGTAAAAAAATTTGAAACTCACCACTGCTTTCAGGCCAGACAAGAAGCAACAGATGGAAACTAAACAAGGAGAGATCCAGCCTAGAACTAAGGAGAAATTTCCTGCAAATAAGAACAATTAATCAGTGGAACTACTTGCCTCCAGAAGTTGTGGATGCTCCATCACTGGAGGTTTTTAAAAAGAGGCTAGACAGCCGCTTGTCTGAAATGGTATAAGGTCTACTGCTTGAGCAGGGGTTGGACTAGAAGACCTCCAAGGTCCCTTCCAACTCTGTTATTCTTAGCAAAATTCTGTTGCTGGGCGAGACACTTGTGAAGTGAATTTTACCCCCATTGTACGACCTTTTTTTGACACAGCTGTTAAGTGAACCACCATGGTTGCTGTGTAAGTCACACGATTGTGAAGTGAGTCTGGCTTCCTCATTGACTTTGTTTTGCGACCTCAGAAGGTCGCAAAAGTGAATCACGTGACCCCTGGGGACACTGCAACCGTCATAAATATGAGTCAGTTGCCAAAGGCCTGAATTTTGATCGGGGGACCACGAGGATGCTGCAATGGTTGTTAAGTGTGAAAAATGGTCATGAGCGCTGTTATAACTTTGGTCACTAAATGAACTGTTGTAAGTTAAGGACAACCTGTATCTCAAAACTGGAGAGAAATATATACCAGGATAGTGGTTATGTCTGTTTATGAATGCTGGACGATGTTGGCACAACTCTATTGTCTGTTTCCCTTCAGATACGATCAAGGGTTGAGGAAAGAATCCTAAACCTCTGGTTTGTACACACAGCCATCCTGTTTCATCCTAAGAGAACTGGGTTCAAAAAGTTGACATTAAAAATGAGCAACATTAAAGTTAGGCACTTTGACTAGCTAGAGGCAAAATGTGTTACTCATAATGCTGCGTAATGTTTAAAGAGTAACTAACATGATGTTTACGACTCTCAAAATATGTCTGAAGGAGAACAAGTTGTTGGCTTACGGGAATTACGTTTCGCCGGTAGGTTCCTCTTGTAGGCGGCTTGACCCAGACCATGGTTGGGTGGGGGTATCTCAAGGTGTTGAACGCAGGTAACTAATTTGTTCTGACCCAGGTCCCCAAACACGACAAGCCCTCTGACGTGAACTCAAAAGATTCCTTTATTAGAAGCACCGGCAGCCCCAGCAAAAAGTCTCTCCCTCAATTCAGGCTAACAAGTCCGGCCAATTGGGAGATGAAGTTGTCTACCACATCTATTCATCTCCAGCCCCTGCCTTTTATCCCCAGAGCTAGGGTAAGTCTTCGTTAGCAGCGGTGACTCTTCCTTCCCAAGGACCAGCCCATAGATTTCCACTGCTCTCCTCTCCTTTGCCTTCTACGCATCCGTGCATCAGGTACTGGACCCAGCTGTTCCTCCTCTTCCTCATCAGCCACCTCCAGACCTGGGGGCTGTTGACTCTCCATCTGGGAGCTGACGGACGGCCCAGGCTCTGCCTCTGCCTCTCTCTCTCTGCCAGCTCCATTCCCTCTTTCCCCTCGGAGCTCCCAGGTTGCCTTGATGCTGATCCAGTAGATGATAATCTGCAAGGAGAAATCAAGGAAATGCTTGCCTTGAAGATCTTTGATTCAGGGCAACATTAGGAAATGCAGGATGCAAAATCCAGAGTCCAAAAAAATAAATAAAATTGAAATGGCCACAAAGGTACAATGCACATTTTTTTTAAAAAAAGGCAGAGTTTTGATAAAAACTTCGATAAAATCCTTAACGCCAAGAAAGCCTGTTTACTTCCGCTGGGCTAAATCTCCCTGAAGCAGAAACATCTTAGTTCAAAATATATTAGAATTTTTCTCTTTCCAATTATAGAAACATAAGATTTGTTGACAAAACACTGTGGGAAGTAGAAGGCAAATCAATGCACCCTCCCTAGCACCGTGTTAAAAATTGCGATGATGTTCGGAACTCTAAAAGAGAAAAACAGAGTAGAGCAAAGACGTTAAACCTTCCAAGATTTGTAACACCATATCTTTGTTGCTGGATACAAAAAAAAAAAAGAAGAATACATTTTTTTTCGCTGTAGCATGTGTAAAATAGCGTAGCTGTTTTGCATGAATAAATGCAAAAAGACCCTGGTTAATTCCTCCTGTAGTTAAAAGCTACTATCTTTGCATTTAAGAGTTATTTACATAACTCTTGCATAACAAAGAGGCCATGTGAGACTTGGATGCTTGACAAGGGTTTTTTTGTGTTTGTGTGGTCCATATATTATATTTGATCATTGGTGATGTCACCAGAGTACCATTGCTAGATGTTTGTGAAAAATATTTATCTAGCAAGAAAAAGACACATTTATTTCATTTTCATTTCATTTCATTTTATTAAATTTGTATACCGCCCTACTCCCGAAGGACTCAGGGCGGTGAACAGCCATAAAATAAAACATATAGATACAAAATTTAAAATAGAGATAAAACTAATTAAATAAATTTGGCTGAACCAATTTTAAAACCCCAATAATTTAAAAACAGATTAAAATTTACATATTTAAAAAGGGAAGAGATCAGGCCAAGCGCGCCTGATGGAATAAAAAGGTCTTGAGAGCACGGCGGAAGGTGTGCAGATCCGGGATCCTCCGTATCTCTGGGGGGAGCTCGTTCCAGATCGTAGGTGCCCCCACAGAGAAGGCTCTCCCCCTGGGGGCCGCCAGTCGACATTGTTTGGCCGATGGCACCCGGAGGAGCCCCTCTCTATGGGAGCGTACTGGTCGGTGGGAGGCTATTGGTGGCAGCAGGCGGTCCCATAAATAGCCAGGTCCTAAGCCATGGAGCACTTTAAAGATGGTAACCAGCACCTTGAATCGCACTCGGAAGACCACTGGGAGCCAGTGCAGCTCACGCAGGAGAGGCGTTACATGGGAGCGCCACGTCGCTCCCATCACCACCCGCGCGGCCGCACTCTGCGCCAGTTGGAGCCTCCGAGTGCTCCTCAAGGGGAGCCCCATGTAGAGAGCGTTACAATAGTTTACAATTTACAATTTACCCCAATCTTTTATCCTTTTTGATCCAGAACATTTTACAAATGAAGTTTGGAATAGGAGACAATGTTTTTGCATCTCTCGGGTACCTGATTCAACAGTAGTAACTGCAAGAGGGATCTCGGAGTCCCTGTGCACGATCCCTTAAATGTCAGCCAGCCGTGTGCTGCAATCCTAGGCTGTATTAACAGAAGGGTAGAATCAAGAACACGTCAAGTGTTGATACCATTTTATAAGGCCTTGGTCAGTCCCACACTTGGAATACTGCATCCTGTTTGGGTGCTATGATGTGATGTGGAGACTCTAGAAAGAGTGCAGAGAAGAGCAACCAAGAGGAATAGGGGACTGGAGGCTAAAACATATGAAGAACGGTTGCATTGAGTATGTCTAGTTTAATGGGAAAAAAAGACTAGGAGTGGCATGATATCAATGTTCCAGTATTTGGGGCTGCCACAAAGAAGAGGGGGTCAGCCTATTCTCCAAAGTACCTGAAGGCAGGACAAGAAACAATGAATGGAAACTGATCAAGGAGAAGGGCAACTTGGAATTAAAAAGAAATTTCTTGACGGTGAGAACAGTTAATCAGTGAAATTACTTCTCTCCAGAACTGGAGGTTTTAAAGAATTCTCTTCTTCTCTTCTCTTCTCTTCTCTTCTCTTCTCTTCTCTTCTCTTCTCTATTCCATTCCTTATTCTATTCTATTCCATTCCATTCCATTCATTCCATTCCATTCCATTCCATGTATCCTATCCTATCCTATCCTATCCTATCCTATCCTATCCTATCCTATCCCATTCCATATTTCCTATTCCTATTCCTATTCTTATTCCTGTTCTAACTCTATTCTGTTCTGTTCCGTTCCGTTCTGTTCCATTCCATATTTCTTTCATGAGTGTCTTTCCCTTCCAAGATAAGGAAGTGATTGCCATGTTGAAAACAACTTATAGACAGAATGAAAAAAATGGAAAGAGATATAGTGGCATTTTCTATATGAACCATGGCTGAATGTGCTTCTTAATCTCAGCCCTCTGAGCCATAATGTTTTTCCCTGTCCAGATTATTTTTCAAAATTGTATTACGGTTGCAGTTATTTTGTACTGCAGATGATTTTGTGATCTCCACACTGGATTTCCCTAACATTTCATTGAATTTTACTATAGCTTCAGTTATTTATTCACAGGGGTTTAGCTTAGATGCAGCTGGTTGTTTTATGCACACACACACAAAAGAAAAACAATTCACAGTTTATGAAAAGCATCTGTTGGTCATCCACGATCTGGACCGAGTTTGAAATATTGCCAGATCCCTTTTAAAGGTTGGTCTCACTGGATCAGCCGTTTATCTTACAGATCACTGGTGTTGTTTTAAGATTTGTGAGCCTTCCTGAAGGAAGTCTGGTTTATGTATTATACTCCAAATATACAATTTTTTTAAAAAAATAGAGCAGTCACTTGGTCATTCAGTATCGTGGAAAAACGTGTCTTTTTCTCAGAAACTTTTGAGCTTTGCTTGAACTGACAAACGGTCTACTGATTTTTCTAAGTTCTCGACAGCTTGCTTAGAGCTATGAATTAATCTTTCAATTATGGAACATACAGTAGTATTCAGCGTCTAAAACATCCCGAATAAAAAATATGAGTCTCTTCTCTTCTCTTCTCTTCTCTTCTCTTCTCTTCTCTTCTCTTCCCTTCCCTTCTCTCTCTCTTCTCTTCTCTTCCCTTCCCTTCTCTTCTCCTCCCTCCTCCCCTCTTTTTTCTCTTCTCTTCTTTCTCCTCCCCTCCTCTCCCCTCCCCTCCCCCCCACTTCCATTCCATTCCTATCCTTTCTCTTCCCTTCCCCTCTCCCCTCCCCTCCTTCCCTCTCTCCTTCCCCATCCCCTCTCTTCCACTCTCCCCTCCCCTCTGCTTCCCTCTCCTCTCCTTTCCCTTTCCCTCTCCTCTCCCCTCTCCCGTCTCTCCTTCCCCTCCCCTCTCTCCTTCCCCTCTCCCCTCCCCTCCACTTTCCTCTCCTCTCCTCTCCTTTCCCTTCCCCTCTCCTCTCCCCTCCCCTCTCTCCTTCCGCTCTCCCTCTCTTCCTCTCTCCCCTCCCTTCCACTTGCCTCTCCTCTCCTTTCCCTTCCCTTCCCTTCCCCTCTCCTCTACCCTCCCATCCACTTCCCTCTCCTTCCCTCTCTCCTTCCTCTCCCCTCTCCTTTCCTCTCCTCTCCCTCCCTCCATCTCTCTTTCCCTTCCTCTCTGTCACTCTCATCTTAATCCAGATTCCCCAAAGAAACGTATTAAGAACCAAGCAGCTAATATCCTTCGCCCGATAATACACGGACAAAAGACCTTCCTGTTACCTCCCCAGTGCAGCTGTTGCACAAAATAGCACAGACCGCGATTTACTCAGCTGCAAGAGGAATCCATAGGCCCCGGAGGTCATTAAGCGGCCATTTCATTTGGCCTCTTCCAACAGCATTCCTAGGCTGGATGTTTCCCACATGCTTGGGAGGAGATTCTCCTAGAATCCTTTCACTGCAAAAGGGAAGGAAGAGTCCAGTACATCACGGATGGACCTGGCGAGCAACGTTGTGACGAAAACACCTCAGCTTGGTTGTCTTCTTCTTCTTCCACCAACAACAACAGGGAGAAGGAATCATGTAGGAGGTGACCATGAGAATCCAGGAAACAGGCCGCATTTGCTGCTTGCTTCTTCACGCTGGCCGGAATGGTTGCTATTGGTTGCTTATAGGGAGACTGGGAATTAGAAGATCAATCATTGATACAGAAGCAGACAGCACAATATCTTTGGGCGTCCATGTGTCCTCCAGATTCTCCCTCGATGGCCTTAGAGGTCTTCTGCATCACTTGATTCTATTATTATCTCTTTTATTCATTAAACATGAAACTCAGTCAACTGAGCATTTAAAAATGCATCACAAATACGATTGGCTGGTGCTAATGGTTGAAACGGGTTGCTGCCAGCGTCCTAGGTTTCAACCAAGTATCTTCTTAAAATATATGATGTTCCGAGTAGCGTATGTTACAGGTACGTCGTATTTTTTTACATAATGACCAGTGGACTAATTTAGCAACTCAATCATGTCTAGCTTTGTAATCAGTGTGCGTGATTTTGCTGCATTCACATATTAAGCGTGAAACAGTTTCAAATTTGTTGTTGCAAAGTCGGCAGTTTGGATTGTCGGTGGATTTTTGTATCTCCGCTTTCAAGGCATTAGTTTGTAGTGCTTGTTCTTGAGCAGCGAGTATTAAACCTTTTGTTTCTTTCTTGATGGTTCCTCTCTTAAGCCATGCCCATGTCAAGTTGCTATCACATTTTCCTTCAATGTTTATTATTATTATTATCTCTTTTATTCATTAAACATGAAACTCAGTCAACTGAACATTTAAAAATGTATCACAAATATCATTGACTGACACTGAGGGTTGATGTGGGTTGCTGCCAGCGTCCTAGGTATCAACCAAATATCTCCTTAAAATATACGATGTTCCAAGTAACGCAGTTTTTTGCAGTTCCGCTGGTGTTATTGCAGGAAGCTGCAATTTCTTG